GTGTTTATTTTTCAGAAAATGTGGATCTTTCAAATTTTGCCTTAGCTTTTAAATACAAGCGATCATATCCTTGTTGTCCGAGCGCTTCGACCATTTTTCGGAATGCTCCATCTTTGTTTTGCAAAAGAACATAGGGAGCATCGAGCTCAACGGCAACACCAGCATCCATAACTAATACGCGATCAGAATCGATGACTGTGTTAATTCTATGCGCAACAGTCAATACAGTAGAATTAGCAAATTTCTCTCTTATTGTCCTCTGAATCACTTCATCTGACCTGAAAGAGATACGAAGGCAAACCATTTGTTTTGAATTTAATCAGAATAGACCCCAATGGTGTAACGATTGTAACGATTTACGAAAAAAGTGAGTTACCGAGGGTCCACATTTGCTGTTGCTTCGTCAAGAATAATGATGCGATTCTTTCTCAAAATCGAACGAGCCAAGCATAAGATTTGTCTTTGGCCCGTACTGAAATTCTGTCCATGAGCCAGAACCGGCATTTGCAAACCATTATTCTTCAAAACTAATTCTTTGAGCTCAACATTCTCGAGTGCATTCCAAATGTCGTCATCTGAATGTTCTTCGAATGGATCTAAATTCCTACAAAAGAATTGTTTTGTGTTGATTTGAATTTGGAGTCGGATCTTCTGAAACTACCTTCGCAGGGTGCCTGAGAAAAGAGTTGGTTCTTGGGGTATAATTGATATTCTCGATCGCAGCACATGCAAATTGATCGAAGACGTGTTGACATCGTCTATGATAATGTCGCCATCGACGATTGCCAATCGCAGAATTGAACTGATCAATGAAGACTTTCCAGCTCCGGTTCTACCGACGATACTGAGTTTCTCTTTGGGCTCGACTGAAAATGACAAACCACTTAAGATTGGTTCATCATCAGCCGAATATCGGTAAGAAACATGTTTGAATTGAATCTTCCCCTTGGATGGCCAGTCTGGCGATACATTTTGTGGTATTTCTGGTTGTTTTTCAGGCTCCAACTGGCTGTATTCCAGGACACGTTCAACGGATGTCAAATGATTTGTAACCTCCGCACCTGTTTAATGAAGACAAAATTCACTCAGTCAGTCGGACAAATTTGACTTTATTTACGTTTCCGCACACATTACTGTGCAGAAAAGTATTTCGATATACAGTCAAGATACTTTCTTAATCTTACTGCGTATTGCAACTCAATCAACATAGTAAATAGTTGCGTTAGAACCAATCCAACTTGATCACCAGTTACCCCTATGAAAATGCGAAATGTTTATATGCAATTTTCAAACAAGAAATTGTGGACAAACCATCATTTGCTGCCAGGAAGACATAAATGACAATACCAATGAAGATGTATATCATCATATCTAGAGAAAAACCGAATCCAATAGATGTAGCTATAAACATAAACGATGTGCCGGTATTTAAGTTCTGATGTCGTTCGAATTCATCTTGCAAAATTTCTTGGGCTTGAAATGCTCTTATTGTTGGTAGTCCCTCCAATGTCGCCGAAATGTGAGTAAAGACGGGAGATTTAGCTGTTGCAAGTAAATTCAAATATATTTTTATACTCAATAGGTCCGAATACTCTAGTACACTCACTTATTCCTTCTAAATGCTTGATATTTGTGGAACATTTGACATAAATTTTGCGAAGCAAAAGAAAGACCATGCCCAATGTGAGAGTCACAATTGAAAGTTTGACATTCGTGAATATGGTGATGGCTATTACACCTAGCATGGTAAAACATATTTGACTTGATTTTAACAGAGTTTTTGGTAGCATTTCATCAATACTGCCCATATCTTTTGTGAATTTATTCATAATTCGCCCCGCAGGATTCACGTCGAAAAATCTCATTTTTGTCGTCATCAATCCGTGGAACATTGTGTCGTGTAAATGCTGCGAAGATTTTGTACACACTACGGAAAACACGGCTGATCGGATGATGGCTGATATTATCAATGAAATGATAATTCCACCATAAATATACACATATGTTTGGGTGGACCAGGCCTCTAACGAAATTTCATTTTCAATAGATGTTTGATTTACCGAATCGATCATCTTCGATTGACGAGTTCGACCTTCTTCGTTTCTTATCCTGAAAATGCAACCGAAAATATTTGATAAGTGAAGCAACTGTTTGCTTTGAGTTCTAATTCAATCAATTACCAATATGAAACCCATACATCGGCTGTACTAGCAAAGATTTGTGCGATTGAAAATAACGCAAATAATAGTGCTGTGACGCCCGGAATATTCGACGACTTAAGATATTTGTGAAGAATTGATCCTTTAATCTTTCCTTTTGATGATGCCTCCAACTCCATTAGAGCATTCTTTTCATCAGAATTCTTTTCATGTTCCTCCACATCGTTGTCCATTTTATTTGAAGACACCATTGAATCTGCTCGGCTTCTTTGTGACAAGGTGGACATTCGGCGATTCTTTTCTTCTGATTCTTCGTCCTTTTCAATCTGTTCGTTTTCATTGTGCTTCAATACGTTGTCAAACTCCACTCCATTCTTCACAACGGTATCATAGTCTCCTTGTGTTTCGATTTTCCCCTGCAAAACACAAACAGATTTTATTTCTTTGATTTATTGCTGGCGCAATGCTTGCGCATCACAATTACATCTTTCAAAACAACAATCCAGTCTGCCTCCTTCATGAAATGCAATTGATGTGTTACTAAAATGCGAGTGGCATTTTGTCGAGCCAAGTATCCGTTCGATCCAATGCATTTGTGGAACAGATGTGCTTGCACGTGAGTGTCTACCGCGCTCAATGGATCATCGATGAGGTAGATATTTGCTTTGCGGTACATTGCTCGGGCCAAACTGAAATTGAATCATAAATCATTTCTGCTCGTCGTTTAAATAGGGCAATCTTACTTAATTCTCGCTTTCTGTCCACCCGATAGACCGGCGCCGTTTTCACCAATCAATGTCATATCGCCATTGCTAAACTGCTTAAAATCTTTATTCAGAGCCGCACTTTTGGTGACTTCATCGTATCGTGTGCGATTCATCGCCTGACCAAAAGTAATATTTTGCCGAATTGTCGATGTAAACGTCCAACTAACTTGGCTTGAAAATGACACCGTGCCATTGATTCCCATTGTACCCTGAATCAGTGGTAGCTCCTTCAACAAGACTTGCATTAGCGTTGATTTACCTGCTCCAACTGATCCGACGACGAAAACCAATTTGCCTTTCGGCACCTCTAAATTTATATCACGAAGTCCAAATGCTTGGCTTTCGTTGGTTGTTGGTTCTATTTTACTTTGGTTTGGGTCCATCTTTGAAGAGGAACTATTCTGATTTTCAACCACATTCCATTCAACTGTAACATTTTTCATTTTAATGGCCAAATTTTGCGCCTCCAACTCATCGGAACTTATTGACTCCGTTTCAGTTTTACATTCTTCATATTGCAGAAACATTTGTAAACGTTTTATCGCGGCTAATGCCTCAAACATCTGAAAAATTGCCTCAATAAAAATTGAAATGTTGAGCGCAATAGTATTGAATAAATTGACAGTAATGAACAGTTTAGAAACGGTAATTTCTTCGACACCATTCAACCATATATAAAAAAGAATCGTACAAAAGAGTGCGAATGGTTTGACAAAAAGTTCAGTTGTCAGATTTAATGCTTGGATATAGAGGCTTTTCAGGACCATTTTCAGTTCGAGACGTC